GTCTTCAAAATGGCTACCCTTGCTTGTGCACATTAAGTACATGAAGCTGGAAGACTGGAATAGAAATGACTGCAGCCATTAACTCAGGAGATAACATTTTCAAGAGTTTTAGCAAATGCATTTGGCTTCCCACATTTGCAGGTTTATTTTTTGTGAATTTGATTGTTCACAGATTTAAATAAAATAGCAGTAGGATCATAGAGTTGGAAGAGACCATAAGGGCCATCCAGTCCAACTCTATGCTGCTCAGGAACACAAAATAAAAGTGTCTCCAATGGCCATCCAAGCTCTGCTTAAAAACCTCCACAGAAGGAGGCTCCACCATGCTCTGCGGCAGCATATTTCACTGCCAAACAGCTCTTACAGTCAGTTCTTCCTAAAATTTAGGTGCAATCTTTTTTCTCTGGAGTTTGAATCAATTGTCTCTATAATTCTCCATAGGGCTACAGCCTGTGTTAGATGGGGTAACACTCCCCCTGAAGATGCAGGTCTGTACCTTGGGGGTCGTCTTGGACTCAGCACTGACCCTAGAATCATAGAGTTGGAAGAGACCTCGTGGGTCATCCAGTCCAACCCCCTGCCAAGAAGCAGGACAATCTCTTTCAAAGCATCCCTGACAGATGGCCACCCAGCCTCTGTTTAAAAGCCTCCATAAAAGGAACCTCCACCACACTTTGGGATAGAGTGTTCCAGGTGTGGACGGTGGACAGGAGGGCCTTTGCACAGTTAAAACTTGTGCACCAGCTGTGCTCATGCTTTGAAAAACCTGATCTGGCTATGGTGGTACATACCTTGGTTACATCTCATTTAGACTACTGCAACACACTGTACATGGGCTACCTCAAAAGAGCATTTGGAAGCTCCACCTGGTTCAATGGTCAGTCTACTTAAAAGACCGCATCTCCCACTATGAGCCTGCACAAGCCCTGAGATCAACAGGAGAGGTCCTTCTCTCAGTCTCACCACCATTGCAAATATGGTTGGTGGGAATGAGAGAGAGTCTTTTCTGTGACTGATCCGCATCTCTGGAACTCCCTTCCGAAAGACAGAATGGCCCCCTTCCTACTAGCTTTCAGGCATCAGATTTCTCAATTTCTACAATTTCTCAAGTCGCTCCTGACATACAAAAAATCAGATAAAAACTTTTATCTGGAATCAGGCCTTCAGTGAATAATAATACAAGAGTGGTAGGCACCATAGTAACATATGGGCTGAACCTTTTTTGTGCAATACCTTTTTTGTGCAAGTGGCAATTGGATGGATAATGACTTCGATTTACGTTTATTTAGGTTTAATTATACCTAAAGTGTTAAATATATTTTAATCAGCAAATGTTCTATTATGGTCTAACTGCTTTATGTTTCAATTGTTATTTTTTTTAATTATGTCTACTTCTTTTATCCCAATGTACCTTGTATGATTTATACCTCCTTGTTAGTTGCTTTGAATCCCTGATGGGAAAGAAAAGCAGGATAAAAATTAATAATAACCATAATAATCATAATAAGTTTACACAGCAGCAGTAAACAAGCTTGCCCCCCTTGCAATGTGACATCCTTTCAGATGTTTAACTTAGCTATCAAGTTGCATCTCAGCCTTCTTTTCTCTCAAGCTAAACATACCCAACTCTCAGCCATTCCCCAAAGGACTTGGTTTCCAAAATATTGATCATTTTGGTTGCCCTTCTCCAGACACGTTCCAGCTTGTCAATATCCCTCTTGAATTGCAGTGGCCAGAACTGAACACAGTCCTCCAGATGAGATCTGACCCAAGCAGAATGGAAGGTAACAATTAGTTCCCTTGATCTAGACCAGGGATCCCCAAACTAAGGCCCAGGAGCCGAATGTGGCCCTCCAAGATAATTTACCCAGCCCCCACCCTAAACTTTAGACAACCTGGCCCTGATTGTGTCATTAATCAGGGACTGACCCCATAACCTGGCCCCGATTGTGCCTTTAATTGGGTCTTTTTCTTTTATTTTGCCTGCCTGAGGGGATTTCCTCTCAGCAGGACACCAGGCCCGTTTCCCAGTTACAGAAGCACATACATATAACATTATATTGTATAAAGTTCTTTTGAGTGTGCTGGATGATATCTGTAGTTGTCACTGCAAGAGCGCCCCAATTCCAATTGATATAGGATATGTATGCATGACACCCCTACCCCCCTTTCATGTTTCACCAATAAATTATATCCATGAATCTAGTCATAAGGGAAAAATCAAGAGTGCTTAGTTAGGGCAAAACTCTCTGGGTGAGGGGATTTGGGATTAGTCTGTTGTTTAAAGGACATTTCTCTTCCATCTCCCCAGGACTTTGGGCTAAGTCCCCTCAGAAAGATAGGGCAGATTATAAATAAAAAAAATTGGTGGTGGTGGTGGTGATGATATATGATTGATTTCATCCTTTCAGGAATTTCAAGGCTCCAGGTGGTTGCGGAGATGAACTGTTGCAAAAGACTACGCCATTGAACCTTTGCAACTGCGAAAGTTATATTAATTAAAATATATATTTAATAGAAATAATTTATTTAATTCTTCAGTTTGGGAAAGGGGGTCAATTTTTGATAACATGGATGTGGGCTGACACAAGGATGGTGTTCTTGTATCAAATCCCATGCATCAATCTTATTTTCCTTGTTGTGAAATACTTTTTCTCTCTGCAATGATCAGCTACATATTCCGTTTTTCCATTTGGACAAGTCCCCACTTTAAGGCTCCTCCATTGAATGAAAGATACTACAGAGTTGTTATGCAAGTGACAATGAGTATATGTTACACTCCTGCCTCTGTAAAATGATGTCAAAATGCATGCCTTTCTCTTTTAAAATAACTCTTATGCACAGCATAAACATGCACTAGGAGGCAATTATCAGGCCATAGTCTCCCTGAATTTAATTCACATTTTCAAGATCTGGAGTTTTATCAGGTACAGTATATGCTGATGTTTACTAGAAAGTTGGACAACTTGTATAAGCTGATTGGTTTTCAGTTTGGATTAGAAGATCATAGAATCATCGAATAATAGAGTTGGAAGAGACCTCGTGGGCCATCCAGTCCAGCTTGCATTCTGAGTGGAAAATCAGCTTTTATATACCCATATTTATTTGACTCTAATGTGCTATTGAATCTATTGCACACCTCAGTTTTCAAAACTGTACATTACATGCTGCCAAATGTAATGTGCAGCAGCAAAAAGCTCTTTGTAATTTGGCCAAAAAAAGGGTGCATTACTATTTCTACCTGGTTAGAATTGTGTTGTTATAAACAGTTGTGTTAGAACGCCAAAGCTTCCAGCGATGGAAAATAAAACCTTTTTGGTGCATCTATGCTGTAGAACAGGGGTCCTCAAACTGTTTAAACAGAGGGCCAGGTCACAGTCTCTCAAACTGTTGGAGGGCCGGATTATAATTTGAAAAAAAAACATGAATGAATTCCTATGCACATTGTTACATTGTACATAACAAATATAAACTTATACTAATAAGTTTATATTTGTTATATTTTAACAAGCATAAACTTATTAGTATTTCAGTTGGAAGTGTGGGCCTGCTTTTGGCTGGTGAGATAGGATTGTTGTTGTTGTTGTTGTTGTGTGCTTTTTAGTCATTTCAGACTTAGGCTGACCCTGAGCGAAGGCCAGGTAAATGACCTTGGAGGGGCATATCCGGCCCCCGGGCCTTAGTTTGAGGACCCCTGCTGTATGTATCTACTTTGATTGCCTTGGTTCAATGTGAAATCCTGGGGACAGTAGTTTGACAAGGTTTTGAGCCTCTCTGCCAAATAATGCTGGTACCTCATCAGACTACAAATCCTAGAATGGCATTAAGCCCTGGCCATTAAACTAGAGAAAAGTTCCCTCAAATAGGATTTCCAGGTGCTCCTCCTAAAACAGCTTCCATTTTTGCTTTGGCTCAGCACTATGATTACTAAATGATGCGAATCTAATGTGTACCCACATTTTGGCAAGGTTGTTTAGACAAAAATGGTGAGCATTAGATTCAAATAATAACATTGTATTCTCTATTATTCTTTCCTTTCCCTTCCTCCTCTTATGCATAAAATATACTGAATTAGGAGGCCAATTTGTAAATGTAACTTAGAATATGCACTTGGATCAAAGGTTGTAAATGACCAAAATAAAACTGTGGTCCAATCCATGTGTGCAATCAATTTGAGGAACGTATTGTGTTGCTAGTCTTGAATCCTGGTGAAAAACAGATACACTGAAGGCCATAACTGGATGTGTCTGACTGAGCAAGAGATTCAAAACCCCATCTTGATAATTTCCTTATTTTTTCACTGGAAGCAGTGAGCATTTGCTGGTATAAATTCAGACTGTAAAGCTAAAGAAATACACTAAATCAATCATTGTGTCAAAATACATGCTGAAGAACATCCCTGTAAAAACTAAAGATCTTGTGCAGAACAACTTTGTATTATTGAAACCTAACTGAACAGGAGCCAGAACAGCTCTAGATTGAAACCATGACACTGTCAGAAAAGAATGCAAAAAATACATTATCTGGAGCCAAAAAGAAAGAAGAGCTTCATTAGTTGATTGATTATAGCTTTCAAGGTCAAGCAAGAAGCAATTTTTAAAGGTGGCAGAAAAAAGATCAGATTTCCATGTTCAGCAACTTGTACACAGGGAGAAAAATAACAGTTATAGTAATTTATAGAAAGAAGTAAAAGACAAAAAGACAAAAAGTAGAACAAGTGATCCTTTTTTCAAAGAGTAGGGATGGTGAATTATCAACAGAGCACATTACACATTAAAGACAAAACGAAAAGACAATAATAGAACCAATAGAGTGAAGAACTATACAATAGGAATGAAAGGATGCCATGTTCCTTTGAGAGATAATCTTTTGGAGATGAACCCACAATTTTGAAAGTTTAGCTTTTTACTAAGCAAGCATAGATAGAAAGCTGAACATTGTTCTTCCATTTTAAAAGAAGATTTTAGTATTTAAAAAGCTCAGCGCCATCAGTTGTCTCTTGTGATATCATTCAGGAACTTCAGTTGGAATGTTTTTAATTAAAATCCTCTTTATTGGCTGTCTTTTCCCCCTTTTATGATTTAATTTTCTGGCTACAAGAGGGGTGCTGCTGTTTTCTTCTGCATATAATTAACCTCCAGTCTCTTCATCTCTAAGGGTACCCTCCTCAGTTTCACCCTTAGACATCTGCCTCTTCAGCTTTTCCCTTGCCTTCCTTTGTTGTCTGTCAATGCAGAAGATCGTAAACATCCTGAATTCTTTGTAGTTCAGTTGCTTTTTAAAATAGAGAGGAAAAAAACGATTTAATGAAATATGAATGGCAAGTTTATGAAATGATCTGTCAAAACTTAACTTCCACCTTTCAAACATCACCATCCTTCTTGCCAACGTTCTCCCACCCCCAACGTGTCCATGCTCATGAAAGTCCACTCACAGTTATATTAACTAGTAGGGTTGGATAAGTTCGTTCGGAAGAGGCTGAAAGTCATAAAAAACTTTTGAAGCAGTTTTGAACCATGCAGGAAGGGGGGGGGGGGATCCCAATTTGAACCACTTACCCTTTTTTCGGAAATATTCCATAATGTTCAGAATATGTCTCCCAAGGTTATTTTAATTTTCACAACCATAGTAAAATCTAAAAAGTTTTAAATTCTTATGCTTTCCCTCCCCCCCCCCCCCAACAATGCAAGGGAGGGATGAGGTGGGCGTTGCTAAGCACAGCCATTGTAGTTTATGAAGGCCAGGCCCTCAATGGTAGAGATTGCAGAAGGTCCTGCTGCTAAACTACATTTCCCACACTGCCCTGCTGTTCATTAGCCAAAATAGCTGAAGGACCACTATAGCTGTCTGTAGCAGTCTTAGTCTAAATATAAAATAATCTGATTTAATCTACAAAGGGGTCGAAAGAACACATCAAAGCAATAAGCAACTTTTGCAAAGCCAAGAGAACATAAACTGCTTAAAAGCCAATCATTTCACTTTGGCCTGATTGCCATGAACAAAGCACTGGGGTAGCCAGCCACAGCCAGCCAGCCCTTTACGTCAGTAAGTAATGATAAAATTAAATGATTGATTGCATCTGCAAATAGGAATAAACGGATGGATATGTCTCGAGGGTCCCCTCTAACTCAGTAGAGAAAGAAAATGGATGACAGGAGAGTTTGGATGGTGCCTTTCTGCCCAGAAGAAGGGGGTCAATTTAGATATCCCTAGATAGGGTCTGTACTATGATTTCCGTTCTCCACCAATTTAACAGTTTGTGCCACACAAAGTTTCTGGAGTAGAACGACTACTTTCAAAGTAAAGGCCACCCATTGAAACCATAATTAACATTTTCAAACCAGGAACAGATTTTCTTTATTATTAAAAAATGTTTTTATAAAAACTGAAAATTCACCAAAAATCCATGGAGAAGTCAAAGGTTATGAGCTAACAGTGGTTCATGTGTTCTACCACTGTAGCAAGTTTCATCAAGATTGGTCTAAAAATGAGGGAGGGAGAATCCCCTGAAGTTACCCCAGTGCCAGTGCTGTTGTTTTTTTTCCTACTGTGCATGTGTGTCTGCCATTAACAAAGCAATTTGGAAGGTTTGGAAAGTTTTTATTTATTTTTTTAAATTGGAAGTGACTTTAGAATCGAACTACCAGCGCCCCATATAACCGAAATGGGTTTTGAAACATTTTTTTTAAATCACCCAAACCTAGTAACTAGGTGTGCATCTAATGAACTAATTGCCAGAAAACCAGGTGGTGGTGGTGAGGCACCACACTATTTGACAGAGAAAGATGTCTGACACCATTTTAATTGCCATGGCTCAATGTTATGGAAACATTGGACCTATAGCTTTGTATTTATTTTATTTATTTATTTACGATATTTATAGCCAGCCTTTCTCAGCCATACGGTGACTCAAGGCAGGTTACAGGTTGGCATAATTTGATGCCAGGCATTCATAAAACTGCAATTAAAAACAATCAACATGACAGTATAAAACATATATAAAAACCATTAAAACATATAATCATTGGTGTCATCCTGTTAAAAACGTTATCCAGTAACATCATCTGGCCATTCCATCTTCATCATTCATATTTCCGTGTTACCTATTCCGCTGCATTCTCAAAAGCTTGCTCAAAGAGCTAGGTCTTTACTTTTTTCCGGAATGTCAGGAGGGAGGGGGCCAATCTAATATCCCTGGGGAGGTAGTTCCATAGTTGAGAGGCCACTACTGAGAAGGTGCTGTCCTTCATCTCTGCCAATTACACTTGCGAGACAGGCGGCATCGAGAGCAGGGCTTCCCCAGATGATCTTAAGCTCCTAGATCAGTGGTTCTCAACCTGAGATCCCCAGATGTTTTTGGCCTTCAACTCCCAGAAATCCTAACAGCTGGTAAATTGGCTGGGATTTCTGGAAGTTGTAGGCCAAAAACATCTGGGGACCCCAGCTTGAGAACCACTGTTCTAGATGGTTCATAGGAGGAGATACATTCGGGCAGGTAAGCTGGGCCGGAATCATTTATGTTTATATGGTCTTTAGTCTAACAGAATGCTGATGCCTCACAAATCCCAGGATTCCATAACATTGTGTGACAACAGTTAAAATTATGTCAAAGTGCATTAATTCTACAGTGTAGATGCACCTCTGACACATCTTGTTCAACCTCTTGCTACTGCTGAAAATTCTATAGTTTGAGTGTGGCTACAAAACTGGCCTAGGGGTTTAACTTTATATTTGGTCCTGTCATTTCATTTCAATCTAGGAAAAGTCTCAGGGGTTGCAGAGTGTAGGGGTAAAATAGAAATGAGTGGGCTACTTCGTAATTTAAAAAGTGAATGTCACCATAAAACCATAAATACAAGGTAAAGGTAAAGGTTTTCCCCTGACGTTAAGTCCAGTCGTGTCCAACTCTGGGGGTGAGGCAGAAGTGAGGAGAGATTTAAAGGCACTGCGTACCCTTTCCCCCCCCCCCCCCCCCTAGCTATCTCTGCTTTGCTTTGCAATCTTTCTTGATTGGCTGCCTCTCACCCAAGGGGGAGGGTGAAACCTCCTTCCCCACTCCATTGTTGCCAGGAGGTGGGATTAGAACGCCGCTCTGGGCAATGGCAACCATTCATAAACTGGGAGGCAAAAACCCACAAAACAGCGAGTCCATAAAAAGAGAACTGCGAAGTAGCGAGGGAACACTATATGGCAGTGTGGACTCAGATAATGCAGTTCAAAGCAGATATTGTGGGATTTTCTGCCTTGATATTCTGTGTTATATGACTGTGTGGAAAGGCCCTCATTTCATATCAATGACCTTTAGGCTGAATACAGGGTACTTCCACCCCATACTTGGTGAGAAATGATATAGATGAGCAATATAAAAAGAATAGGTATGCACAGCACACTTTTCCTTATGTTGAAACACAACCACATCCTCAAAAGTCTTTTTTTTTTCAGCCTGATGAAGGTCAAAGACATATTCAGATGAGACAATAAGATAGGGCAGCTTCCCTCCCACTCAACCCCATTGGTTACCTCATCGCCAGAGATGTCAAAATCCTTGAATATTTGGCTCAGCTCGCTCTTCTTAATATTGAATAGGAAACGAGTGGCTTGGAATTCTGCAGGGCCCACCGTGTGGCCCCCGTCAATGTCCAGCAACTCAAAAACAGCATGACAGTGGCGATACATGAACTGCTTTTCAACGTGATTCTGGTTCAAACAATGAAGTTAAAGAACAACATTACCTTTTCCTGCTTATCTCAATTCCTATATTCTATTCCAGGGTAAAGAAACTAAGCATTGGCAAAGAGAGGGAAAGGCGCTGGTTTTTTAAAATGTTTTTAATTGTGGTTTTTTTGTAACACGTTATTTCAGTGTGATGATTTTAATTGCATGTTAGAACTGTATTAGTTTGGGGTTGTTGTGAGTTTCCGGGCCGTACTGCCATGTTTCAGAAGCATTCTCTCCGGGGGTCACCTCACAGGGGAGGTGTGAGTCACCTCACAGGGGACTCAGGGCGGATTACAATGTACACATATATGGCAAACATTCAATGCCAAAGACACACAACAGATATAGACAGACAGTCAGAGGCTATTTAACTTTTCTGGCCGCCAGGGGAGCTGTCACTTTCATCGTCCATCTGCGACACTGATGAAGTACTTCCACATTGCCCGCATTCTTTGCTGGAGTGCTTTGCTGGAGTCTTTTTATGGCCTTGTAAATTAGTTAAATTAGCCTCCCCACACATAGGTGGTACCTAATTTTTCTACTTGACAGATGCAACTGTCTTTCGGGTAGCAAAGGTCGACAACAAGCTACACAACTGGTCAGAAGCTCACTTTGACCTGGGCTGGCTTCGAACTCATGACCTTTTGGTCAGAAGTGATCTTAAGCAGCTGACACTCAGCCAGCTGTACCACAGGTATCCTCAGAGGTTGTGAGGTCTGTTGGAAACAGGAAAATGGGATTTATATATCAGTATTATTTTTAGTTTATTCTTTGGTGAGCAACCTTAGGTTCTAATCCAGGGGGAAAGTAGCATATAAATGGAATAAATAAGTAAGGGGTGCTGGGAGCAGCCATTCAGCATAGCTGGAGGGTCACATTTTGTCTTCTATAGATAAAATCAACACCAGACTGAATCTTGTTCTCAACAGACTCCACTGAATGTGAGGCTGTTCTAGTTTATCTGATTTCGCCCAATGGTCTGAAATGCGGAGAAGATGTAATAACGTAATAGTCTCCTTACTCAGAAAAAGGGAGCGGGTAAATTGCCATGACCTTTAGAGTATCTGGAAAGAGTTACAGTGGGGTCAGGCAGAGTTCCTTAGCCGCACCCTGCCTTGGAATTGAAACCCCTCTCCTCTGCAGTGATCCCTTGAGCTCCCCTGCTGCCTTTACTTGCATCAGGCATATGGAAACATGAATATGCTGGCTATCCAATCTAACAAAAATTTCCAGCTGATGGAGACTTTTAAAAAGTGGCTGGATTGCCATATGTCAGGGGGGCTTTGATTATGCTTTTCCTGCATGGCAGGGGGTTGGACGTAGTCTGGTCCAACTCTATTACTCTATGATTCTGTGAAAACTGGACTGGCAAACTTCCAGTAATGCAAAGACAAAGTCAAGGAGAAGTTAGTAGCATTGTGCGGTATTCCATTCCCTCTCCCACTCGCCTGTATGCAGTAATGTTTTATTTACCATTGACATATCCAATTGCTTCAATGGTTTTAACCTCATGTTATTGCTTATGTAAGATGAAGGTCACAGCTATATATGCCTGAATGCTTTACAACACTGAAGGGTTTCAGGACAGTTAATGAGATTGGGAAATGTTCTGCACCAAAAAAGGGAAGTGAAGAAAGGGAATTTCAGAGGACAACCTCATAACGAGATTCTTCACATCTCTTCCTGTCTTGATGGCAAAATACTATACAATCGCATTTTTCAACCTGATACCCTCCTAATGTGCGAGATTACAGCTTCCATCATACCCAGCAAACACGAATACTGGATGGATTGGCAGAAGATACCTGGTACAACATATCTAAAAAGCATCAGTTTTGGAGAGCTGTGAAAAGGTCTGGATGCAATGACAGAATTTAAGAGACAACCCCAAAGCAAGATGTGTCTAGTTCCAGCTGTCAATATCCTCTAGAACAGGGCTTCTTAAGCTTTTCCCACTCATGAGTCCTTTACACTTGAGAAAGTTTTTTGTGACTCCAGAAAATAGATATAAAAACAAACATTTATGAATAATAAATCAGCATTTCCAAGGTTTGCTAAACAGGTGGATTTTTCATTTTGTGGAGTACAGCTGTAGCATTTTCTGCAGAGCCCACTTAGCACTGCACAGTGTTGCTAGCAAATTTGTGTAAGTGGTTGGCATCCAGAAAACTTTTATTGTTGCCAGTTTTTGTGATTGTGATATTGAGCTAAGAGGACATACAGTTTAAAAAGCAGTGTGCTAAAACAAGGATAGTTGAACTCATACAGTTACAAGGTTCCTGAAAAAGAAACTAGCTCAAAATAATATTATCTTACATGATTTCACTTTCATGTCAAGTATTTGCTTTTTGTTTCACTTTGAAGTTGACATGTTCTTTTGTTAGCCAAGTTTACAAAGCAGATGTGTCAGTAAAAGCAATTTGTACCTGTCACTACTGCATGAAGTCAGATGTAGAAATGCCAATGTGCCAGAAAACTTTCTGGTTTCCTCTTTATAATCCTGTGGCTAAAGGTAATTGGAAAGCTTTGATGCAATATCCCTAACTTTAGCAACCACATCCTGACTTTAGTGAAGAGCTTCTAGTATGGTGTCAGTTGATTTGCAAAGTAAGATCTTAAGCAGAGACCTGGTACTGTTTAGGCAGCTGATATGAAACCAGAGTTATATAATTCAGATGACTGAAGAACTCTCTGGTGTTTTAAAAAAACAAGATTTGGGACCTGAAACATGAGCTGTGTAAAATGAAAACAGAAGGCCAAGAGCTAAATATGCAGGCCTGACACTGGAGATACTGTAGCTCTTGTGCCTTTAATTGTTGTGCAGAAAGGGGAATGTCAACAGATGTTGCCGGTTATCTGGTTGTCTCACAATCAATATCTGTTGAAGGTTTCCCACTAACAATACAGGAGCTCTCTCCAGTTTTCTGTCAAGTGCATAAAGGATAGGAAAGCAGGAAGTAGCCTTGTTGTCATCCCTGGAAATCTGCTTGGTCCCTGTGAAACAGACCACTTTTTATATACCTATACCCCTACAGGAATCTATGTTAACTTGCCTCATGAGACATTATGATGCACACCAACATGTAGAATTCATCAAAGTTGATCTCTCCTGAGCCATCCCAGTCCAGCAAGTCAAACACCAGCATGATCTGAGTCTTAGTTAGATCAGTTATATAATTAAGAAAGTGGAAAAACTGCAGATCTGGAAAACGACATTGTATTAGGTAGTGCACATTCAAAATATTTCGTTAATAGAATCCACTACACAGATTTATATAAAACATGTTCTAATTCATAGCATAGAGAGAAACACCGACGACCTGGGTGAATGATTCTTATTAACTGGGACAAGAGATATAAAATACAAGTATCTTCCAATTATTTTTCTGAAGGCAGCTTTTCTGCTGCCTTTTTTCTTCTACATGAACTGGTGGCTAACACAATATTGTTTCAATAATAAATATTATGTTGCCTCTAAGTTTTTCTGTTCCACACTCTTCTGTTAAAATGATAGCATCCATAGCACTCTGAATTTGGCTGTGTTGCTTTAGGAGGAGACTAGATTTGGCATACCTTGATAGAGCCCTATTGAATTTTCAAGAAGACTAGTAGTACACAAACACTAAATAGAAAATAAGGAGAGAGAGAGATACACATAAAAGCTTCTGGAATGCATGACAGACTTTCCCGTTCCTCTGCTTTTGGTCCAGGATAATACCAACTTTCCCCAAATACGCTGTATACCACTTCATCTGTTCACCTGTACAAAATCATGATAATCACTGTTAAGAGCTTAGGTGTCATCCTGGATTCACAGCTGACAATGGAAGCTCAGGTCGCTGCTGCCAGCAAACAGGCCTTTTTCCATCTACGACAAGCGAGGCAACTGGCACCCTACCTATCTGACGAGGCTCTGGCAACTGTCATCCATGCCACGGTCACGTCTAGGCTGGACTATTGCAACGCCCTGTATGTGGGCCTTCCGATGTCTACAACCCGAAAGCTTCGTATTGTTCAGAATGCGGCAGCCAGGTTACTCACAAGAATGCCCATGAAATGCCATATAACATCAGTGCTGCAACATTTACATTGGCTTCCAACTGAGTACCGTGGCCTGTATAAGATGCTAGTTCTGACCTTTAAAACTCTTTACGGCCAGGGTCCATCGTACCTTAGGGACTGCCTCTCCTTCTCCCATCATCGGAGGTCACAACGACCAGCCCAACGTGACTTACTCCATATACCGGGTCCTAGAGAAGTGCACTTGGAAAGGACCAGACGCAGGGCTTTTTCTATTTCTGCCCCTGCCTTGTGGAATTCCTTGCCGCCCTACATGAGAGCCATGCGTGACTTAGGGCCTTTTACTCTCGCACTTAAGACCTGGCTTTTTACTAGAGCATTCGATCTCTGTTGATTTTTAATTTTTGTATGTATGTATTTTATCTTTTGTAATTTAGCTGTAAATCGCCTGGAGCATTCTCGGATGGAGGGCGATTAATAAGTTATTAAATGATGATGATGATGATAGAGTTCATGCAGTCTATCTAGTGTGATTTTCTGAATCAGCACGCCAAATAACCCCAGGAACAGGGCAGTGTAATGGTGAAATCCCCATTAAGGTGAAAGAGAGATGGTTTAAAGTGCAACATGGGTCCAAGGAACCATGTTTTCGTATCCCAAACTATTTTTTTGAAAGGTAGGAATATCCCAGTTGGAAAAAAAAAAAACATTTTCAGGGAATGGAATTCCAAGCAAGGAAAGGCCAGATCCAGGTCTTCCTAAAGTGCATCATGGGTGTGGTGTTCTGACATGTATTTGGACCCCTAAACAACAGATGCAGAGGATAAACAAATAAGAGCCTTCTGCTTTCATGCTCTACTTTTAGACTTTCTAGACCAGTGTTTTTCAACCTTCCTAATGCTGTGACCCCTTAATACAAGGGTCCTCAAACTTTTTAAACAGAGGGCCAGGTAACAGTCCCTCAAACTGTGGGCGGGCCGGATTATAATTTGAAAAAAAAAATGAATTAATTTCCATGCACACTGCACATATCTTATTTGTGGTGCAAAACCACTTAAAAACAATACAATAATTAAAATGAAGAACAATTTTAGCAAATATAAACTTATTAGTATTTCAATGGGAAGTGTGGGCCTTCTTTTGGCTGATGAGATACGATTGTTGTTGTTGTTATGTGCTTTCAAGTCATATCAGACTTAGGTTGACCCTGAGCAAGAGCCGGGTAAATGACCTTGGAGGGCCGCATCCGGCCCCCGGGCCTTAGTTTGAGGACCCCTGCCTTAATACAATTACTTGTGTTGTGGTGACCCCCAACTATAAAATAATTTTCATTGCTACTTCATAACTGTAATTTTGCCACTGTTATGAATCATAATGTAAATATCTGATATGCAGGATGTATTTTCATTCACTGGACCAAATTTGGCGCAAATATTCGATACGCTGAAATATGAATACTGATGAGGTTGCAGAGTGATTGATTTTGTCATTTGGGGGCTATAGTTGCTGGGATTTATAGTTAACCTACAATCAAAGAACATTCTGAACTCCATCAATGATGAAATTGAAACAAACGTGGCACACAGGACTCCCCTGACCAACAGAAAACACTAGAAGGGTTTGGTGGGCACTGACCTTGAGTTTGGGAGTTGTAGTTCACCTACATCCAGAGAGCACTGTGGACTCAAACAACAATAGATCTGAACCAAACTTGGCACGAATACTCAATATGCCCCAATGTGAACACTGGTGGGGTTTGGGGAAAATAGACCTTGATTTGGGAATTGTTGGATTTATAGCGCACCTATAGTTTAAAGAAGACAATTATGCTGGGAAAAATGGAAGGAAAAAGGAAGAGGGGCCGACCAAGGGCAAGATGGATGGATGGCATCCTTGAAGTGACTGGATTGACCTTGAAGGAGCTGACCCCCAAGTTGAGAAACGCTATTCTAGACTAATCTGGTTGCCCACCTTTCGAAACAGTCATAACATTAAATAGTGGCTATCTAAATCAATCCAGCAGAGCTCTCTTTAGATATTTAACTTTTCAACACTGTTACAGCCATTAAAAGGTATTCTCCAGCTTTCTCGCCCCACCCTGCTGCCTCCTTACACTTAGGATGGAAAAAAGACATATTGTTGTAATGATTTTGACCAGCAATGCGTGAGGGAGATGACACAGAAATTGTCGTTTGCATCTTTGCAGCCTGTTCTGTGGTACTTACTATTCAAAGAATTCTTCTTATGAACATCAAGCAGAGAAAAGTAGTATGCCAAGACTCTAGCATTTCTGACAGATAACAAGCAATATATTCTGTCTAAGCACAAGAAGTGCATGAGACATTTTGGCCTCAGTTTCATCTTGCCAAGAATGAGTTCTGTTCACTTGTGGAACTTTGGTCCAAGTCCAGACAATGCCTGTGTCACAGTCAAAGAGTTCCACCTTGGAACTGGAACAGCAGGAAAGAGATGCAGGCCTTTGGCTTCTCTGCTAAATGTCTTTAAAATGGGGCTGTCTGCCTTGAAGGGTTTGGCATGAAGCAGGGTTGGATAATACATGAACAAATCACATTTAATCATCCTAATATGTACACTCTTAGTGAAGTCCACCTCAAGATATTTGCAACATCTTGTTGCACTGAAATCAATCTCTGAAAATAGGTGCTGATCAAATGCACCTTACCTCTCCTAGAGGGAGTGACTTAGGTTTGTTTTTGTTTTTTCATGTTTCCGTTCACAATTCAAATATTCAGTCCAAGTGCTGGGGTTTCCTGACACCTACCCTCAGTATCCAAGCTTAATTTTAGAACAGCATTTCTCAACCTGGGGATCGGGACCCTTGAGAGGATCACAAGGGGTGTATCAGATAGGTCACTAAAGAGCGTCAGAAAACACAGTATTTTCTGTTAATCATGGGGGTTCTGTGTGGGAAGTTTGGCCCAATTCTATCATTGGCAGGGTTCAGAATGCTGTTTCATTGTAGGTGAACTATAAATCCTAGCATCTGCCACTCCCAAATGTCAAAGTCTATTTTCCCCAAACTCCACCAGTGTTCACATTTGGGCATATTGAGGACTTGTGCCAAGTTTGGTCCAGAGCCATCATTGTTTGAGTCCACAGTACTCTGTGGATGTAGGTGAACTACAACTCCAAAACTCAAGGTCAATGCCCACCAAACCTTTTCAATATTTTCTGTTGGTCATGGGAGTTCTGTGTGCCAAGTTTGGTTCAATTCCATCATTGGTTTAGTTCAGAATGCTCTTTGATTGTAGGTTAACTAGAAATCCCAGCAATTACCACTCCCAAATAACAAAATAAATCCACACCACCACCACCACCCCTCCAAATCCCACCAGTATTCAAATGCGGGTGTATCAGGTATTTCCGCCAGATTTAGTCCAGTGAATGAAAAATATCCTGTATATGAAATATTTACAATATAATTACTAACAGTAGCAAAATGACAGTTATGAAGTAGTAACAAAAATAATTTTATGGTTGGGGGTCACCACAACATGAGGAACTGTATTAAGGGGTCACAGCATTAGGAAGGTTGAGAAACACTGTTTCAGAAGGATTTATTTATTCAGGTTCTGTGAAATTTCTGAATGCATATTTTAACTCTTAAAGGAGAGATCCCCTTAAGCCCAAGGATGGCATGTAGCCCCAATGTAACTTCAAAAGCCCCCTTACAACTGAGCGGAAATGGTACCCGCAGAAGTGATCTGTCCCTTCAGCAGCAGAAGGGGGAGGAGAATGGTAGGGAAGACAGAAGAAAAAAGGGATGGACTTTCCAACTTTGGACAATGCCCTCCCCTCTCGACATACCCCAAAAATTGCAAGCAGGGATGGATGTAATGAGTTGGATCCCTGCTGATGAGTTTGGCATTGTTGTTAATATCAACAGGTGTCCAGTGAAGACAGAAAGTTTACTTGTATTAGTAACTTTGTTCGTTACTTTTTGCATTAGCCTAGGCGTTTGAGGCTGGGGAAAGAAAGGGAGATTGGCATAATCTGGGTAGAATTCCTTTGGGGCCCAATTCTACTATTAAGGAATGCTGGGCTCTTCTCTGCTGTAGACCATCTGCTGCATCATCTACCACCAATAGTGTTTATGTCATAACAATAATGTTTGCAAGAAATCTGGCTTTGAAAAAAACTCTTTGGGAGGCCTAGGACTACACCCAGTTCCAGCACAGAACACAATGCCTTCCCAAAAGTTCACTTAGTAAAGTTCATAACCATTTGCTACATAAGACATGTAACTCCAAATTATGCACTTCTCAACTCATTCCTCTAGATGTCCCTATTAGCCTGCATTTGTCCTCCACACAAACACACACACATATATATAAGCAATAGAAATGCTCACGGGACACATCTGAAGACACAGAATTGTTAGAAAGAGAAATGTGAATTGGTGCCCTCCAAATGTTTTGGGCACCAGCTCCCATTCTGTAGCCATGGTGGTTGAGGCTTACAGTAGTTGTCATCTAAAATATCCAGGAGGCACCAGAAGTTATCCACTCTACCGTCTCTATGTAATACTGTTCATGTGGGAAAATAAGGTTGCTCTAGTCAAGTTTCTTCAACATGTGGCCTTCCATGTGTTTTGGACTTCAGCTCCCAGAATTCCTGCCCAATAAATAAGCTGGCTGGGGCTACTGAGGGCTGCAGGTTGAAGAGGCCTGATCTACATCACTTCAACTACACAGTAGAGCTGCGGTGATGCAATGGGTTAAACTCTTGTGCTCGCTGGACTGCTGACCGGCAGGTTGGGTTGCTGATCTGAAGGTTGCTGGTTCAAATCTGCCAGATGGGGTGAGCTCCCATCTATCAGCTCTAGCTTGCGGGAACATGAGAGAAGCCTCCCCGCAGGATTGTAACACATCTGGGCATCCCCTGGGCAATGTCTCTGTAGATGGCCAATTTTCTCACATCAGAAACAACTTACAGTACGTTCTCAAGTTGCTTCTGACATGATTTTCAAAAACTACACAGTAAGCTGCATGGCTGCAAGTCCCACCATGGCATCAGACCTGCTTAAGCAATGACAGCTTGGAGGGCGGAGGCTGTGAGAATTCAGTTTAGGAGCAAAACCCTGACATCACAATGTGGTTTGTGAACTAATGTGCCAGATAAGAAGAGATTCATATGGTTGCCCATGAACCAAATCAGGGATTTGCATCAAGAGGGAAATTGCCCCAAGATTTGATAAGAGGGAGACAATAAAGCAAGGCTCAAGGAGAAAGAAATTCAGCAGATGACTTGTGGCTAACTCTCAGATACTTCTGAATTGAACCCATGGTGCCCATGTGCGTGGCACTGGGGGAGCGGTCTGGCACACACCCATTTCCTCACCTCATGTTTTCCCTTGGGTACTTCTGCCAAGGAAGCCTGCTTACTAAGTGCTTGGACGCCAGACCACCAATGAAGATGGTAAGCTCCACTTCAGAGGAAGTTTCTGATAGTATGAAACAATAACTCCCCATTACACAAAGCAAAACCCAGTGCTTCAGGGATGTTTGTTAGTTTGGTTATTACACCACTGTAGGACTTGCATTCTTGATGTGACTCAATGGGCTGGAGCATCCCTAGGGGAACTCCTGGGGTCATCCCCATGGATCATCTTTCCTGGCACACCATATCACAGTATTGTAACCAAAACACCAGAACACTACCTGCAATACGCATCTCTACAGACAAAACTTAGGCCTCCTCCACACAGCTGAATAAAATCCCACATTATCTGCTTTGAACTGGAATATCTGGCAACAAGGACTCAGGGCCCTTCCACTCAGCTCTAGATCGCAGAATATCAAGGCAGAAAATCCCACATTATCTGCGTGTGGACTCAGATAACTCAGTTCAAAGCAGATATTGTGGGATTTTCTGCCTTGAGAGATATAGGGCTGTGTGGAAGGGCCCTGAGTCCACACTCAGATAGCATGGGATTTTCTGCCTTGATATTCTGGAATATAGAGCTTTGGAAGGGCCCTCAGTGATTCAAAGTGTCACTAATAATGGCCCCACTGACTGGGCTGCATGTGCAGGGGAAAGATCAAAACGTAAGTTTGAGCCTTGGAGGGCCCTTCCACACAGCTGAATAAAACCTCACAATATCTGCTTTGATAAACCAGTCCAAAGCAGATATTGTGGGACTTCCAGACTGATATTCTGGGTTATGCGGCTGTGTGGAAGGGGCCCTAAGATCGAGGGTGGCATTTTTAGCCCCAACTTTCCCCCCTTGGCTCCACTCACCCACTTGGAAGGGCCCTAGGTCTACTGATACCGAGCACTGTAGCTGGGCTTGTGAAGCCATGTTTGTGCGGTTAAGAAAAGTAGAACTTTCTTCTGAAACACGGCCTGAAAGTTTCCTAGGCAGTCGCTTTGGGTGTTTGCCGCAGGTAGGCACGCGCAGGCACCCACCCCGCTCGCCACGCCACGCTCGCCGTCTAAGGCGTCAGTCTTTCTGCGGACGCCTCCCCCCCCCCCCTTGCTCTTGACCCGAGACTCTCTCGCAGCCTGGACAACAAACTTCGGAAGTAAACGGGATTTAACCGTGTCCCTTCCTGTCGGGAAGGTCTGCGAAGGCGAGAGGCGTCTGGGTGGGAAGGCGGCTTCCCCGCAGCCCGTTTGGAAGCAAAACACCGAGCCCCGAAGGCGCCCCATTGCGCCCCTCCCCGCTTTTCGTGACGGGGCTCGGGCAGGAAGGAACGGAGGAGAGAGAAGGACGGAAGAAAAGGAAGGAAGGAAGGAAGGAAGGAAGGAAGGAAGGAAGGAAGAGAAGGAAGGAAGGAAGGAAGGAAGAGTCGGTAGCGAGCCGGAGGGGCCGAGGCGGAGCCAGGAGGGGGCGGGCCCGGGCGGCGGGGCGCTGGCGAGGCCGGAGGGGGCTGGCCCGGTCCCGAGCGGCAGGTGAAGCGGGCGCCGCCTGGGAGGGGCTCTTGGGACCGGGCGAGGGAGGGAGGAGAGGCGCGGGGAAACACCCGGCTTGGGATTCCCCGCCGCCGCGCCCGCCGCTGCTCTCGCGTCTTGGCTTTGGGCGCTTCTCCGGGGCCTGCAGAGGGTCTTCTCTCCTCCTCCTCCTCCTCCTCCTGCTTGTTCCCCGCGGAGGGGTCCCTCCCGGGCCAAGATGGCCTTCGCCAATTTCCGCCGCATCCTGCGCCTCTCGCACTTGGACCGGCGCCGCTCCAAGGAGTTCCCGCACGTGCGCCGCGACCTGGACCCCAACGAGGTCTGGGAGATCCTGGGCGAGCTGGGCGACGGCGCCTTCGGAAAGGTCTACAAGGTGAGCCCCCGGACACACGCCACGCCGACGCCGACGCCTAAGCCGGCCTGTGCCCACCTCCTCCCACTATCACTCTCAGGAGCTGGAGTTGGGCCAGACTCTGTGCATTTCTCAATGGAGATGCGCCCTTGGAGGGCGAGGGGAGCGGACAGCCAACCCATTCGGTGTCTT